AATAACCTTTGACTAAGGATATTTTTTAATACGAAATTATTTAAAGTATAAAGTTATATCAAAATGTTCCTTATTCAAAATATTTTAATAAAAGTATAAAATTTATAAATTGAAATATTGTATACAAGTATAATAATTAAAATTATTTTCCAAAGTTTACCATCATTGACTAGGAAAAGTCAATATGACGAACCTTTTCGGGAAAGTGGTAGTAATTGCAAGTATGCACCGTCAATAAACCTAATTCTTCATCAGTTTAAATCAAAACTCCAAATTCTGTAAATTCAGTTTGTTCTTACTAATACTGTCAGTATATATATACCCAATATAGTTCTTTAGTTAAGTTCTTACATTTTTTAATCTACATCAATTTTTAACCAAACTTTTTACAAAAATCTGAAGATTCGATTGTCTTGAGTTCTTTAAGCTCAATTTTTTTTCATAAGCAGATCTGAGGGTTAATATTAAAATCTCATCATTATTTTATACATGTTTCAGTTATTTTTCGAGAAAATACTTGAAGCAATAAAAAATTAATTCCAAATTCTTATTTCATTGAAATGTTTAACTGTTTAAATCAAAATGTCAAACAAGAGTTTATTTTTTTATGTAAAAAATAATTCAAGAGTTTTTTTGCATTGAAATGTTTTACATTTTGAGCTTAAAATTGAGCGTAAAGAACTATAGGTGATCGATTTCTCAGATTTTCGTAAAAGATGTTGGTTAAAAGTTGATGTAGATTAAAAAGTGTAAGAATTTAACTAAAAACTATGTTGGGTAAATATATTGAAAAACTGAATTGACAAGGTGAATACATAATTTTCGTTTAAAGTGGTTGAGAATTAAGTTTATTAACGGTGGATAATTGCAATTAGTTTTTCACCTCATATGGTGTTCAAATGTTTTTAAAACTATATATATATATATATATATATATATATATTACATATTGGTGTCATATGAAAGATAACAAAAAGTTATAAAATTTGATATATATTTTAAAAAAATTGGAGCAAAAATATAAAAATTATAGCCATTTAAAGAAAAAAGATGATTACTTTTACATTGGTCCCACCTCTTCCCATACGTGTCGGCCTCCAGCGAAGCTTGATTCCCTTTGTACGCACTTCCTCCGTATTATTTAGAGAGTGACCAAATGGTTTGGCGGTTTTCTCTAATCATAGTTTATTCCAATAGTATTTTGGTAAATAGTTTTAACCATATCCTAATTTTGTAAATACTTTTTTATTTAACATTACTCTAGATCTTTAGCCTTTGTTCTGCTCTCAGCTCCCAATTTCCGCAAAAAAAAAATCTCCTTTCTTTTGAAGGAATAGTTTGTTTGGTTGGAATTTCATCTCCCTTTTCCACAGAACTCATAATGATATCTTTATATTTTGTTAATAAGCGTGTTTAACATGGAAAGGAAATTTGTGGACGGGCACAACATCAATCTAGGATACTAGATTGAAGGGATACATCCTACGAAGTACACCCGTTTGGTGTCATTTTCGTGAAAGCATCTCCAATGAATTTAATGTATCCCTTTAAGAGTAATGTTTATCCACATAAGATGCATATTGAAAGAAATAGATAACATGTCTCCGACGATGCGATGTTAAGATAATAATAAATAGAAATATAGACAAATGTATAGTCAAAATAAAAGTAATGGACAAATATATAATACTACGTAGTAAATTTAGTGATCGTGATAATGTTCTAATTTACATTGAAGTGACTATGATGATATACTTTTAGGAGTAGGGATCATATCAGGCGGCCTAAGAGAACTCGCCATCTGGTGATGTGAGTTTTCTCGCACTTAAAAAGATTGTAATATAGTGGTGTAAGGGAGTGTTTGCGATTGCTTGTGCTTTTCAAAAGTGGTTTTTTAAGAGATTTTAGGAAAAGTGATTTGTATTAAAAATAGGTAGTGTTTGGGAATAGAAGTGATTGTGAATAAAGTGTAAAAGTTGAAGTGTTTGGTAGAAAAGTGATTTTTGATGTAATAAATTATCAAAATACACAAATACCCTTAAGGGTGGAGAGCCACTCGACCAGCTCCCGTGGCCTTTTTTTCTATCCAAATAATTCAACATATACAAACATTTATATACATAGAGACATATATACGTATATATGTAAATATATAGATATATAATATTAAGATGGACTTCAAAAAAAATTAAGATGAAAACGGAAGATTTCTTGCAAAAAAAATAACAACGGATCGTCTTCCTCCTCTGAAGTTAAGTGACAGACTTCTATCGGGAAGCTAAGTGATGGACTTCTTCAAAAAAAAAAAACTATGTGACGGACCAGAGAGATCAAGGTGCAGCGAGGAAGAGAGCAAGATCGAGGTACAGATGTCAGATGTTGGGTAAGTGATAAGGGTATTGTGGACTTTGGTGGTTATATCTATCATAATAATCATCCCCAAAGTTGGAATAATTTACAAGAAAACCAAGAAGCAGTTAGAAGCTACCTTACCCCAGCTTCCAGCTTTTGGATTAAAAGTGCTTAATTTAAGTAGAAGCAGGCATTAGCAAACACCAATTTCAGCTTTTTTTAAGCCAAAAGCTGAAAAGTGCTTTTTTTAATCCCTTGCAAACACTCCTTAAGTACGAGTATCGTCTCCACAGGGACGGACAAAAGGGAATCAAGAATTAATTAAATTCAGCGATTAAAAAGAAAATAAAATAAAAACGTCGTGCGAGATTGATTGGTTGGAAAATTAAACTAATGCGAATAAAACGATTAAACTAGGGGGTTCTTTCTAATTAATGACGAAGGGAACATGGATTGATTCCGGGGTAACTAGATTTCTGGCAGATCAGGCTTAATTACATGAAATTAATTTAATTGAGTCTAGCTAATCATTACTAAGTTCTTACCGCACTCGCGGCGTAGAGTACAATAATTTAGGGGACCAGACAGATCTCTCATGCGACAGGAGCCTAAATGATTGCCAACACGAGCGAGCTTACGGCCCCTTAATCGCTACTAATCTCTTAGCGAACGATTAAGTGTGTGTGAATGTGTCCTAGAATAAATTAGATCTCTCTTAACTTATTCTACAAGCATTTGTAATTCTAGCGGCCGTTCTAGGTTACAAAAGATATCAATTAAATTACTCAAACACAAATTAAACGGCATTCATGCAATTAATCCGTCAAGAATCTAGCCATACATCATGATTAACCTCTTCATCAACCCCAAATCCCTAATTAAAACTACTCGCAATTCATAATTGAATAATCAATGGAATTGGGATGAATAGAAATAATTGTCATTAATTAAAAAGATAGAACTTACAAAGAATCCCTTAATATTGAAGAACAAGGCTTGAAAAGCTCTCAAAAATCGAAATAGGGTTTATCTCTCTAAGCTCATCATCGAAAACAAGCAAAACACGGGCCTATTTATAGAAAAACTCAAAATCTGCCCGCAAGGTCGTCCGCACGCCGTGCAGGTCACGCGCGCTGTCACGCGCGCGTATTTCCGTCTTCGGACTTTCGCTCCGCCCGCGTGGTGTGCGGGCGCCGCACAATGCAACCGCGCGGGTACTTCTGGGGGCTATTTCTGGACCGCGCGGTGTGCGGTTTCGGCCGCGCGGTGTCCAGTTTCGGCCGCGCGGTGTGCGGTTTCGGCCATGCGGTGTGCGGTTCAGACCGGAGAATTTATCGAAAAGGGCCGAAAAAGGTTGAGTATTTTGAATCTACCCGGCCTTCTATTACATTATTAGGAAATGGTGTAATTACATAAGGACCCTTAATAAAACGACACCATGAACTTAAAAACGACTGTCTATCCGATTTCGAAAAACAGGAAACGGCTTGTTGGTCCCACCAGCTTCCACAATCCAACTTCCGGAATCCCAGCTTCCCCTTCCCACACACTTCATCATTCACTATCAGTCGAAATCGATTTCGGTCGAGCTCCGGGTTAGGGCAGAAGCATTTTCGATTTCCAGCACAAGCATTCCTCGATTTCTACTTCGACTTCGACGAGGAGCATTCTTACATCTCCTTCCATCATCATGAAGTGCAAAAGTCCTACGGTTCCTCTTGGGAAAAGCCAAGCAAGACGGCGACTTGTGAAAGCATCTGAAGTGATGGAAGCCAAAGATGAACTCAATATTCAGGTAAATGTTAGATTATTTATGATTGCTTGAGAGCGATACTTGGTTCTTTAGAAAGCTAGACGTGGTAATTTCTCAAATGAAAGCTATAGATGTTCATTCGAATCCGAACTCAACTCAGTCGACCCAAATCATGTTTGATTATTTTGAAAACGCAATGCATGTTTCTCACTATTTTTTCTAAGTAAACATACCTACCAATTATACAAGTATCATTGGTGGTTAATCCGGAGTGAATTTCTGTAAAATCATTTGGTCGAACTAAACATACATTTTTTACCAATCTTAGTCGAAACGGAGTTGTAAACCATTGGTTCGACCGTATCTTAGTCGAACATCTGTAATTTTTTTTATATGCAGGTTCCTTCCTTGCCTCCTGTGGTGGACTGCTCGTTGTTCCCGAGCATGAAACTCACAGTAAGGCAAAAATTGGATGGATTTATAGAATTAATTTTCGACAATCTTGGTGAGTTTCCCAATCTCATGGGTGCATTTAGGTCGAGTGTATTTGGGAAATACATTGATGTTGAGTTCATCCCTGTTCCATTACATTTGTGGTCAATCGTGTCTAGATTAGCCAAAATTGATATTGAATCGGAGGCATGGTTTGTCGTGAAGGGAGTTCCAGTACGCTACTCTCTCACAGAATTTGCTCTAATCAGCGGGCTTACCTGCAGCGCCCTTGCTAGCAATTATGAAGATGATTTTGATAATGATTCAAAGGCCAGATTCATTGAGAAGAATTTTGATCAAGATTTTGAGGGAGTTGTTAGCTATGAAACAGTTGTAGCTAGATTTGTACAATTGTGCACAACTTTGAAGGACCCTGAAGCTGAGGACGAACTGAAAAAGGATGCTGAAGTAGAAGTGATCAGAGTAGCAATACTCATGTTTGTAGTGATGGTCCTTCTAGCTCCTTCTAAGAGAAAAGCTCCTATTCCTGAATGGATAATTGGGAAAATAGGGGGAAAAGAAGAAAACGAGTTCCCATGGGGTACGTGGGCGTATAAGGGCTCATTAGATGCATTGAAACATATGGACTTGGAGAAAAAGCTAGATGAAATAATTGCTAAAAATAAGTCAGCAACAATGAATTTCCCTGGATTCTTAATCCCAATTTCGGTAAGGACCTTTGTTAATATCATTTGCAGATTCTATTTTGCATACTGTAATAACAATTTGTCTAGCATTTCTTGACTTTTTCAAATTTTGTTTTAATAGATATTGCTTTTTGAATGCGCCCCTGATTTTGCCGAGAAGTTTGCAATGAGACTCCCTAATTGTGTGCCTACTTTGCCGAGGTTACGTCTCTATCGTCCAAATACGACAAAAAGGATCAGCACTGAACAGGTTCAAGTGGCTGAAGAATCAATAAAGGTAAGAACATTTTCACACTTATAACCTTTGTTCGACCAGATTGTGGTCGAACAAATAAACGTGATCGACTACTACACGGTCGATAATACGTTGTTTTGTTTATACAACTAAAAGTGAAGAACTAAATGTTTGTTACAGAGGGTGCAGAGTATTCTACTACCTGATGATTTGGAGAAAACTACTGATTGGGTCAGAAGTTTGGATCCTGTACAAGACAGTCACCCACATGTTGAGCTGGATGGATTTGTGAAATCATTAGAGAGAAAATTGGTTCTTTTTCCAGTCTCTTTGAAAAGAAAATCATGTGAGGTCAAGAGTCCTAAAGAGGAGAAGAAGCCTCCTAAAAAGATGAAGTTGCTGAGCATGAAGAAAGAAGAAGGTGTAGTGGAGGAAAAAAGAAAGAAGAAAAAGAGACACTCTCCTCCTCAAACCCCTATTGCCTCTCCTCAACCTACTGCCCATGTAGAGGAACAAAGAAAGAAAAAGAAACACTCCCCCAAAATCCCTGCTGCTTCTCCTAAGCCTCCTTCCAATGAAGATTCAATAAAAATGTATATTGAACAAAAGTTTAAAGAACTGGAGGATCTTTCAGAAAAAAGGCTCAATTCTTTCAAAGAGCATTATGACAAAAAGTTTCTGGAGTTGGAGAAACGGTCAGAAGAGAGGCACAAGAAACTTGAAGAGTTACTTGTTAAGGTTTGTCTTAATTCTATAGCAAGATAAACCTTTAAAACTTGAGCTTCAATAATTAGTTATAATTTTTTCCTTATATAGTCCACTGCTAGAGGAGAGGAGAAAAGTGTTGAGGGGGCTGAGCATAAAAAGGAGGTAATTGCGTATGCATTAAAGCTGTTAATGGACTTGTAATATTTTTAAAGCTGGTAGAATTGTTTTGTTTTGTGAACGGTCATGAATACTTACTTTACTTATTTTCCATCTAGAAAAATGAAGAGAGTGACGATTCTGAAAAGAAAATGGAGCAAGAAGATGAAAAGGGTTTAGACAAAGAGGCTCAGGCTGAAAAGTTCGACCAAGAGAAGAAGGTACATCGTTTAATTCCAAACATTTGTGTATAAAATATTCCGCCGACTAATATTTGGTCGACCTGTAAATATGTAATAAAAAAGTGGTCGACTTTGCTGTATATTTAACATGTTCTTGATTCTAGAATTTACGTTAATATTGGTAATTCGTATAGATGTTAACAAAGATGTAAGATCATGAATACTTACTTTACTACTTTTCATCTAGGAAAAAGAAGAAGAAGAAGCTCAAGGAAATGAAAAGATGAATGAACAGTATCAGGTTGAAGAGATAGAACAAGAAAAAAAGGTATATTTTAATCAAAAGTATTTGCTTAAACCAAACTGTTTGTTTATAAGAAGATTCGATCCACTAATATTGGATCGACTTTGAAACTATGTAAAAAATAAGTGGTCGACTTGATGTATATTTTATTCATAATTTACTATTTTTCTTCTAGGAAAATGAAGAAGAAAAAGAGTCGGAAGATGCCCAAGACTCTATGGCTAAGGTTTAGTAGTTTAATAAAAAATATTTGTGTTTACAAAGTTTTTTTCAACTGTTTTTTCAATTGCATGGGTGATGGCTTTGAATAAGAAGATTCGATCGACTTTGAATCTATGTAAAAAATAGTGGTCGACTTGATGTGCATTTTAATAATACATTACTATTTTTCTTCTAGGAAAATGAAGAAGAAAAAGAGTCGGAAGATGCTCAAGACTCTATGGCTAAGGTTCAGTAGTTTAATAAAAAAATATTTGAGTTTACAAAGCGTTTTTCAACTGTTTTTTCAATTGCAAGGGTGATGGCTTTGAATGTGTATATACCAATTGTTTTCCGCAGGGTCATGAAGTCGAAAATGTATGTACATTGCAGACAAGTGAAGAGATTGGAGAGGTAACTAAATAGATAATAAACAATCGACCAAAAGAGGGCCGACCGAAAAAATCTACTACCTTTGTCTTCTTTAAAGATTAAGCATTAATACATATTATACATATAATGACAAGGTTGATCAGACGGTTGAACCAGGACTGAACATTGTTGATGACTCTATTGGCTTAGGGGAATCAGAGGTAACCTATAAGTAATCGACCAAATTATGATCGACTACTTACGTTAGTAATCGACCAAATTATGATCATGAATACTTACGTTACTATTTTTCATATAGGAAAATGATAAATTGATTACAGAGGTTCATCAGTATCAGTGTGAGGAAATAGAAAAAGAAAAAGAGGTATATTTTAATAAAAAAATATTTGCTTAAACGAAACTGTTTGTGTATAAGAAAAATCGATCGACTAATATTGGATCGACTTTGAATCTATGTAAAAAATAAGTGGTCGACGTGATGTATTATATAAACATCGACTTAGATAATAAACATCTACTACAGAGGTTCGATCGACTAATATTTGATAGACTTTGAATCTATGTAAAAAATAAGTGGTCGACTTGATGTATATTTTATTTATACTTTACTATTTTTATTCTAGGAAAATGAAGAAGAAAATGAGTTGGAAGATGCTCAAGACTCTATTACTAAGGTTCAGTAGTTTAATAAAAAATATTTTTGTATACAAACCTTTTTCAACTGTTTTTTTCCCATTGCAAGGGTGATGGCCTAGAATGTATATATTCCAATTTCTTTCCGCAGGGTGATGTGGAAGAAGTTGTTTGTTCATTGCAGACAATAAACTTATGTACATTGGAAACAACAGAAGAAAGTGGAGAGGTAACTACATACTTAAATAATAAACATCTACTACCGACCTATGTCTTCTTTATAGATTAAGCATTAATATATATTATACTGATAATGGCAAGGGTGATCAGACGGTTGACCCAGGATTGCATATTGCTGATGTCTCTAATGAGACGGTTCATGATCAGTTAGCTGAGGAGAGTGAAAAGGTAACTTATAAATGATCGACCAAAAGAAGGTCGAATACAGAAGATCGACTACTTATTTCTTACCAAAAGGTTAAGCATTAACATATATATTATAATTATAATTGAAGGGTGATGAGAAGGTTGATCCAGGATTGAATGTTGGTGATACTGCTGAACTTGATAATAAAACGAAAGAGGTAAACCACAAAACTTTTTAATATTATAATATCGACTACATTTATTTTTTAAAATATTAAACTTTGACATATATATTACACTTAATAATTGATAGGGTGATGATAAGGTTGAGCAACCATTTCGTATTATTGATTATGTTTGCGATGCTTTTGCCAAGGGTTTGGTTCGCAAAGAAGATGTTAGTGATGCTGATGATGTTAGAATTGTTGAACTTAATGATGAAGAGAAACAGGTAAAACTCAAAATTGTTTTCTCAAGTAGTTGAATTGTTTTATGATATATTCTTTATGATTGTTTGTAGGCATTGTTGGGAAGGGGGCGAAGAACAAAAGGAAGGGGAAAATTTACCAAATCTCCTTATGTGCCCTACAAGGGGAAGAAAAGGAGTCATCCCAGTGAGACGATACTGAAGAAATTTCATACTTTTATAAAAAAAAGCCAAGAATGATGGCAGGGATGTTCAGTGCTTCGAGGACAAGTATTCTGAAAGTTCTGGAATGGAAAAGAAATTCTGGTCCATGATGTTGGACGTAGGTGGTTGGCTTGAGTCTCAGGTAAGTAGGTAACCACATTATTTATATTGATGAGTATTTCTTTTTATACAAAACGTTTACTTCATCACATGTAAATCTTTCAGCACTTTGACGAGTATCTTTCCTACCTGAGGAAACGTGTTCTTGATGAAAGTCTCTCAGATGTTGTTGTCACGACGGAATTCTTTTCTTCCTTTATTGATACCAATATGGATCCAAAGCAAGAGCTCTTTCCTGGATTGCTGGATGATTTGAATAAAATGATGGAGGGGACTTCGAGCACTTCTTGTATCAAATCTTGGACAGGCGTGAAGCGTCTCTATTTTCCACACAACATTGCTGAAACTCATTGGATGGCAGTGCGAGCAGATTTCGAAAACAATGAGCTTGTTGTGTTTGACTCTCTGCGATGCTTCAGAAGTGATGATGAAATAGTACGCAGTTTAGAGCCGCACAGAAAATGGTTTGGAAATGTTGCTTGCATCCTTAATGGTATTGTCTATGACCCAGAAATAATGCCTCTTTGGAATGTAAAGCGGCCTACCGTACCCCAACAAACCACGAGTGACTGCGGTGTGTTTACAATGAAGTTCATAGAGTTGGACATGGTTGGTAAAGATTTTAAAGAACTTGAAAATATGACTGAAAGCCGCATGAAGCAAGTTAGACTACTCATGGCTTATTCTATATGTAAAGAGTTTCAAGAAACATTAAATGTATGAACTATTTCACTGATATTAAAGGAAGCTTTAATATGTATATACAATGTAAGTTTTTGTTTTCTTTATAATCATTGTTTACCAATTTTACATATAATTTCAAGGTTGATGAGAAGGTTCATGATCAGTTGGTAGGAGAGAGTGGAGAGGTAACTCGGTTTGATGAGTACGAAAGATCGACCTTATGCTCGACCAAGTTTTTTGAAATGGTTATAGATGTTTGTAGGTAATGGGAAGAGCAAAAAGAAAGAAAACAAAGCCAAGGCAGTTTAAGGTAAAAGTTGACGATGCATCTTTGAAGCTTGAAGAACCTGATGCGAAGGTTTTGGAGAGATTTTCTAGCTGGATTCAACAAGCCATAGAAGAGGACAGGGAAGTTCAGTGTCTTTTCCATAAATATAAAGAATCAGATGGAGTGTCAAAGAATTTTTGGACTGTGTTGTTGCGTCCTGGTGGTTGGCTTGCGATCGAGGTAACCAAATGAAGTTATTTTATTCGCTGAAATTACATTTTTCACATATATGTTTACTAAACCACATTTAAATTATTCAGCATCTTGATGAGTTTCTAGTGCATCTGAGAAAACGTCTTTTTGAGAAAGAGATCTCCCATGCTGTTGTACCTACAACTTATTTTGGTAAAATGGCTCAGCGCAATGGAAATGAAGAAATTTACCCGACACTAGAAAAAAGTATAGAGAAAACTATTCTAGGGACAACCACATCAATACACATGATTCCCTGGGAAAATGTTAAATATGCTTATTTCCCTCACAATCTTGGAGGGAATCATTGGGTTTGTGTAAAAGCAGACTTTGAGGTGGGAGAGCTTGTAACATTTGACTCTCTCAGGGGATTGATGAGTGATGAAACTTTTGAAGCAGCTATGAAGCCATTAAGAATGGTATTCCCTGTAATAGCATCCTTTGCCAAGTTGGGTACACACACATATGAAAACAAGTCAATGTGGGAAGTAAAACGCCCTATTGTACCGCAACAGAAAGAGGATGACTGTGGAGTGT